TGTTGCTGAAGTGTGACGACACCAGATCAAACGGCGCGTCTGAACGCACCCCCTGAATGAATGGGAAAGTTGTACAGAGGTGTAACCCAGGCGCTGGAAATAAGGGCAAGGCTTTAGGGCCTCCTTTCTTAAAGCCCCCTCTCCCACTCACACACCTTGGCTTAAGCAAAGCAACTATTTATTACAACAAGAAAAATACAGTTCTGCACACAGGGTATTGTACTTCCCACCCCCAAACTCCTTTCCCTTCCCAAACCAAAGGTCCAGTACTCAGTGTTCCAGAAGTACTGTTCTCTTGTTGGAGCTGGTCCAGTCACAGTGCTTCAGCAGCAGGCCTCCAGTAGGAAGGAAATACAGTCCCTCTGAAGCAGGCCTCCAGTAGGAAGGGTATTGTACTTCCCACCCACAAACTCCTTTCCCTTCCCAAACCAAAGGTCCAGTACTCAGTGTTCCAGAAGTACTGTTCTCTTGTTGGAGCTGGTCCAGTCACAGTGCTTCAGCAGCAGGCCTCCAGTAGGAAGGAAATACAGTCCCTCTGAAGCAGGCCTCCAGTAGGAAGGGAATCTCTCAGAGCCTCTCTCCTCACCATCCAAGAGAAGGAATCAGCATCAGTTCCAAGTCAGATATGTCTGGTTCTGCTCTCCACAAGCTCTACCCCAAATCTCCTGGAATTTCATGACTGGGAGTTGGCAACCATATGCTGGTTTCATACCTCATTTGGAGAGACAAATGACTAGGCCTCCCTTTGCTCCACCCCCTCCCCAGGTTGATTTTTTCCAGTCACTCACTACACACACTCCTCCCAATATGCAAATTAAGTATTTCGTTGCTCCACCCAACAGCATATATCCCCAAAGTTCTACACAGGTATGCTTTTGTCATCCTGTACTTCTTTATTTGACTGACATCACATTGTAATTTTTACTTCAGGTGTGTACCCAGACTAATGGTCAGCTTACCTTTACTTTCCAAGGATTCTGTATTAAATTTATTATAGTGCAAACCTTCAGTTACAAATTTGGTCTCTACACATTTACTAGGAAGAATGGCTATGTGTTCAGGCAGTTGATCTATTATCTATATACTAATAGTTAAGCCGGCCAAATCTTTGGATACCTAAATCCAGTGACTGGAGCTGTGAATGTCAAGACAGATCTTTCTACAAACCTAAAAAAAAAGAATCCCAGGGTTGCAGAAAAATGTGAAATCTACAACAGAACAAAACATTTGGGAGTTTTAAAAACCCCAAAATGATAAAAGGTGCCCTGTGGCTTTAAGCAACAGTGTCCCTCAG